TATAGGTATATTTCTGTTCATCGGATCTAAGTTATATTCCCTGTTGCACCAAATCGGCCAAGCAAGGCATCCTTAACGGATCGCTCAAACTGCCTGGAAGATCCTGGCGCAGTGGAGCAGGAGAGAGACTCCTGCAGCCTGGAGTCCACGCGTGCTCGCATGCAGAGTGGATGTAGAGAGAGCAGGGGTTTGTTGTAGTTGTTTTGTTGCTGTTTTGTAGGGGAAAGGCCTGGAGGGGGGGGGGGGTGAGAAAGAAAAAGGAACGAAAAAGAAGCCCCTGTCCCGGCACCACCCGTTCCCGCCCCGCCTGGGAGCGAGCGCCTCCGTGATGGCTGGAGGTAGAGCCAGGGAGCAAGTCGGGGAGAGCGCCGGGTTCGAGCCTGGACCTTGCCGCTTGGCACTGGGGCGAAGGTTTTCCTTTTGCTTGATTTTCTGTTCCTTTGCCTTCCACCAGTGAAATCAGCAGCAGCACCAGCCCACCCGCCCCAAGCCAAGCCCCCCGGTGCCGCTCCAGGTCACCTGCGCTCCTAAGAGGGGTGAAGACAGTACCTGGCGCCCCCCTCCCCCCTGCAAGCTGGTTTCCTCGCAGGGCACAGGGGTGGGGGCGCGGGTCATCCCCGCAACCTGCGTGGCCTCGGGGTTCGTCCCCCACCAGAGTCCCGGGCTCCCCGACTCGACCCAGGGTTGACGGCCTGGGGGACTCCGGGAGACTGAAAACCAGGGGAAGAGTCCGACGTTATTCCGGGAGAACGTTCTAGAAGCCTCCGAAGATGTCTCCAAGGAGCCCTTTCCCTCCCCTTCTCCTGCCTCCCTCCCCTCTCCCTTGCGTGGCAGCCGGAAAGGGGGGTCACCCCCACTTGGGGCTGGCCTGGATAGAGAGAGTGTGTGTGGGACGGGGAACCCTGCCATCCACCTTCGCTCCCGGGTCCCGTGGACCTTTGGCCCCTTTTGCCGGACGAGAAGCCCGTGGCTCCGCAGCTCTAGGGTCCCCCCACCCTTCCCCACGGCCCCCGGGGCGCGCGCGCGCACGGGGCGCGGGGCGCGCAGGACCCCGGCGCGCAGCGGCGGCCTGGGCTTCGCCCTTCGAGGACCGAAAGATCCAAGAGCTGGGGGGGGAGGCTGTGATAAGGGGGGGGACTGCCGACACCCCCCATCCATCCATCCTTCCCTCCCTCCCTCCCAGGCTCAGCCCCACCGCTGCCCCCTACCCTCCAACCCCAACTCCGGCCAAACCCCCAGAAAGCTGCGTCCTGGCCCCCCCTCCCCCTCCGTCACCCCCGGGGGCTTCTAATCACTCCCTATCGATCTGCCTAACTCTTTTCAACCCGTGGAAGACACATCTTAAAACACGCCAGCCCGGAGTGTGCTCCGGGCTTTATCCACACTAATAAAATGATTTACCCGGCTCCCCGCGCGCTCCTCCACCACACCGAGGAAAATCGTTGGAGCCCCGGCTATTTGTGTGTGATCAGTAAATATTTAGTGCGGTGACATCCTCAGCTCGGCTCCGGGGATCGATGCCGGGGGTGTGGGGGGGGGGAGGCTTCCCACCGGGAGGTGGGCCTGGTGGGGACCCGGGCGGGGCGGGGTCCCGAGCCCACCACCGAGGGTGGGAAGCGGGGCGGAGGAGGAGGAGGAAGAAGAGGAGGAGGAGGAGGAGGAGGGGAGGCCGGAGTGGGGTGAGGTGGGGGGAACTCTTCTCATCCTCACCCCAGCCTCTGATTTATGGCCAGAGAGCAACCCGCACCGGGGAGGGGACGACCGGTCCCCTGGTCTGGAGGAATGGGGAACACGCCTGGAAAATTGCCTTTTCAACCTTTCTACTTGTGACATTCAGCCACTTACTTCTCCAAGCTGCGATCCTGCCCCTCCTCTCTATTTGGTCTCTCTCTCTCTCTCTCTCTCTCTCTCTCTCTCTCTCTCTCTCTCTCTCTCTCTCTCTCTCACCCCCCAACACACACACACACACACACACACACACACACACACACACCCCTCTGCTCAGAAGGGAGGGCGGTCAGCTTCTTCCCCGGGGTAACCCTGCTCCCAATCTTTGCTGCGACACCCTCCCCCCTCCATCGAGTCCTTTGCCCACGCCAGAGTCTAGTCCTCCAAACCCCTGGGGCACACACTTCGATTTTCCTTCCCTTTCCATAGAAACCAAGAGAAAAGTGCTTATGTGGGGGGTGTTTCCAGGGGTAGGGGTTTTTTACTGGGGGTCCCGCCTGGGGCATGGGGGGAGATGTCCTCACCTCCTTTGCCCTTCCTGCCCAACCCCAGGTTGGGCACATATTAGTTCTTTATTACAGAGCTGAGAAACTAGGCACTTTGGGACAGCCAGAAGCTGGCCTGCCGACCTGCGGGACACCCTGTGATCCTTAGGCACTCTGTCACCTCCAGCGGAGGTGTGCGTACTACATACACGGATACTGTGTGTACAATTGATCACATGGATGTAGGTTGCATATGTGGAATTCTATGTGCCACCCCCACCTCCGGTCCACGACTCAGGAGAAACCCAAGCTGGAAGTCTCCCAAAGCTATCCACCTGTTAGCCAGTCTTTTTTTTTTTTTTTCTTTTACCTGAGGTCTAGGCCTTTGCAAATACCAGAGGCTCCCCTGGAAAAAAAAAAAAAAGGAAGAAAGGAAGAAAAGAAGAAAGGAAGGAAGGAAGGAAGGAAGGAAGAAAGAAAGGAAGGAAGGAAGGAAGGAAGGAAGGAAGGAAAAGCAAAAAGAAAGGAAGAAAGAAGCAAAAAGAAAGAAAGGAAGGAAGGAAGGAAGGAATATGACCTTCCTGTGTCCACCCAAACTCAAGGGCTCTGGCCTTGTCCTGCCCAGGGTTGGCTAAATCCCCACATCTTCAGACTATATCTTTATACTAATGCATACTTAATTGGTCCGTCTTGACTGTCCATATAAAACAATTTAATTAGGGTGCTTTCTTGCTTTGGAGAGCAAAGAGGGAGAGAGAGAGAAAAAAAAATCTGCCCAATGCTTATTGTATTTAGCGCCAATACAGGCAGAAAATGTAACACAAGTTTTTGGTTGAAAGAGCACCTCAGTACCCATTGAAGGGCGTTGATCCGAAAAGACAGAAAGGACAAGTAAAATCGATTTGAAGCGACCCTCTGTCCCTTTCACACCATTCAGAAACTCGGTTCCTTCTAAAACAAAGCCCAGTGCCTTGGGAATTCTCAGGGGACAAGAGGGACTCCAGTTCCACAAGCCCAGCGTACTTTAAAATAATAATCATAGTAATAACTGAAATTCCAGTGTTCTACTTGGAACCTTCCCTGGCTTCTCTGTCTCCACTGAAGACCCAGGCAGTAGAGCCAGAGAACTAGCCTCCGCCTGGCTGCCTAGCCTAGGAGACCAGAGAGACTGGCTTTTTAGGGTTAATACAGTCCTCACCTTTGACCCCCCCCTTCACTGCTCCCAAACTGGCTGAAGTTAAAAGAAAATGAGTAACTCAACCACCCACCCACCCCCACTTCAAAAACAATCTCCTAAATCCAAAGAAAGCAGTTCTGGTTCAGCTCCAGGAGCAACCTTATCCAAGAGCTACCTTCATCCCAACTTTTGGTTTTAATATTATTTTTCTGTTTCTTTCTTTGGCAATAAACTACCCCCAGCTACCTCTTGAAGAGGGAGCTCAAGTTGTCAGAGTGTGACATCTCTGGGCTGTGATGGGTTGGGTGGTCTAATTGGTCCTCTATTAGTACCAAGTTATCCCACAAGCGCCCTGGCTGGGGAAGACAATCATCAATCAGACCTGGCCAAAAAAAGAGAGAGAGAGAGAAAGGGAAGGAGGGAGGGAGGAGAGGGAGGAGAATGGAGGGCAAGAAAGGGGAGGAGAGAGGGGAGACTATGACCACCTTCACCTGCCCAGAGTCCAGCCTCCCTGATCAGTGATCAGTCGACCTTCAGCTAGGGTTGAAGAGGGCAGGGCTACAGGGAGGGGCAGCCGAGTTACACAAGTGTCCTCCTTCTGCTAAGAATGAGTTCAGCATGTCCCCAGAGGGGTCTCAAGGAGCCATCTACTTAGTATAACTGATGAGACAAACCACAAGAAAGACAGAGGGAAGGGGGGAAAAACAACTTCTGCAGCCCATATTTATGGTATTAATGAATAGTTAAAAAAAGATTTACACTTCTTATGATCAATATTCTGAGTTCTTTCCCTCAAAGTATATAATTACAGTGTCTTCAGAGTTTTCATCATTGTTTGAGGTGGCAAAACCATTTGTAATTTTCATTAGCCAGTAAACATGTAATTAACATTCAGCACTGTGTTTAACTTAATTCCTGTTTAAGACAAGGACAAGAAGCAGTCGAAGAGCGTTAGTTCCATTTGTCAAGTCTGACATGCATCTTACCATAACAGTTTCCTAAAATAAAAGATCCGTATTGCCCCATTATTCTTCTCTTAAAACAAAATGCACACACACACACACACACACACACACCCCAAAATCCATTAGTTAAAACTGTATTAAACTGCTAGAGGCAGCGTGGTTTATGATCAATTTTTGCCAGTTACTGTATTCCTGCTTCCTTAATTCATTCTTGGGAGTGCTAGGGAGAGGGGGTTGAATTCAGCCTTCAGTATGTGAAGGTATGAAACGGGGAACCCCTCCCCCCAAAAGAAATAGATTTCCTCTTCAGGAAAGTTCTAGAACAGGCATGGGGGGGGGGGAAGGGAGGGAGGCATTAATCCACAGGGTAGAGAGAGAGAGAGAGAGAGAGAGAGAGAGAGAAAGAGAGAGAGAGAGAGAGGGAGAGAGGGGGGAATCACTTGGGGTAGGGTGGGGGACTTGAGTTAAAAGTAGAAGATGAGAATTCCAAGAGATTCTTAGGAAAAATGTTGACCTCCTTTTTTTAAGTCCTATCTTTGATCCTGGGTGAACCAGCCTGTTTGCCAGTCTAGGAGCCTATTGCTCCCCCCCCTCCCACTTCTGTGGTGGTGGTGGTGTTTTTTGTTGGTTTTGTTTTTCCCCCCCCAACTTGCTTTAGGATTAGCCTCCATCCCTCTGGACCCCAAACAGTGGAGCTGCGCCTCGGGTCGTCTGGCTCTACAATACACGCGTAGGGTCGTTTCTGCTAAGGCTCAGCCGTTTGCTCTAGCCTCGGACTAAACTCATTAAGTTGGGAGTTGTTGTTATGTTGGTTGTTTTTTTTTCTTCTTCAATTGGACGGGTGTTTTTAAAGTCTTGTCTTTCCAGCCCCAAACAAGGTGTAACAAGGCACTCTTCCTTCTAAGGAATGAGATGAGAGACAAGAATCACTCTAGACATCTCCTACCTACGGTTTGGGTTTTTTTTTTTTTTCTTAAAGGCGAGGCTCGCATTCCTCAGCAGCTGTGTTACAAAGCTCCCTGAAAACCTTGTCTCTCTAAAGTTAGTGTGCAGGCTTTTTCAACGCTGAGAACACCTAATACATAGGCAAGCACTTCTCAGAGGTGGATGTGGGTTTTTTCCCCCCATTACCTTTTCTCTTGTTCCCTGCGGGCTGTGCCTACTTTTCTTTTCTTTTCTTTTCTTATTTTTTTTAAATCAGTTTGCACAATCGCTTAGATAAACACCGAGGAAGAGATCCTCTTTAATTATCAAAGTCACATCTTTTTTTTTTTTTTCCCTCCTGGGGGCCAACAAAGCATTTTATTCCACCCACCCCGGCCAAACTAAAGGAGAGTCATTCCAGTTTAAAAGGAAGATGCAAGCGGTCTGGGACCTTGAACAAGGCAAATATGGTTTTGGTATGTTGACTTACAGTATTTTTTTCCCTCTTCTTTCTCTCCTTTCTCACGTTTTTTTTTTTTTTTTTTTCCTTGTGCTGTGTGGAGTTGGGGGGGGGGTGTTGCTGAGGGAGGGTGGAAATGACTTGTTTTTTGTTTTTTTTTTTTCTGCAGAAAATCGGTTTGCTAACCTGTATGAGATGCCTAGAATTGTGGTTTAAAGGGGTTGGGGAAGAGGGGGTGGTGGTGGTGGTGAATCAATTCACTGCGATGCCATATTTTATTACATGTGTGTGGTAGGGAAGGAGGGGAGGAGGGGTGGGGGGGGGAATGCAATTGCTAAGCTGCCAAAATATGATTAAACCAAAGCCTAAAGACTACCACGGCTCTCCTCTCCCCAGCCCTGTGTCCTCAAACTCATTTCCTTCTATACAGCAAACTGCAAACCAGTCCTATTAAAAGAAAAAGAAGGGGGGGGGGGATAAAAAAAAAAACCAAACAAACCAAGCAGGCAGACGACTGGATTTGCTAGCAAGCCCAGGAGCCGCGGAGGCCGAAGGCGCCGATCGCTTTGCCTTTTCTCTGCGCTTTTATCTGGTAACCTAGTGCCGGTGACAGCACCAGGACAGGCGGAGAGAGAGAGTCAGAGAGAGAGAGAGAGTCAGAGAGAGATCAGAGAGAGAGAGAGAGAGAGAGAGAGAGAGAGAGAGAGAGAGAGAGCGCCGTGGCCGGCTGGGCGCCCTGCGCCGCGGGCTGGGGAAAGCCAGAGCGATCGGCTAAGCTATGAGCTATGGAGAACCGCGACGTCGCCGAGCGAGAGTACTCACCATCGGGCGGGGGGGAGGTGGGTGAAGCCGGCGAGCTGATTTCAGGCCAATCTCTACCTTATGGCTAAAGCAACCGCGCCGGGCTGACTTAAGAAGCCATTCTGTGCTCTGTCCAAAATGTTCAAGGGATGGTTCTTCATTTAAAAAAAAGAAAGAAAGAAAAAAGAAAAAAGCCAGCGAGAGAGAGAGAGAAAGAGAGAGGGAGAGAGAGAGAGGACAGAGAGAGAGAGAGAGAGAGAGAGAAGACATAGACAGAAAGAAGGGGGAAAAAGAGGAGGGGGTAAAGGGGGGGCGCACATAAACCCAGTTCAAAAAAAAAATCACCTCTTCACCATTGACTCCGGGCAACGTAGGGGCGAGGAGCTCCGAGGACAGTCCCAGCAAACCAGAGCCAATTAATTTTAATTCCTGAAGAATTATTCAGATTAAAATGTACAGAAGTTTCATTCTCTCGGATGCCTACGTGAGCCCCAAGTCGTTTCCCTTTAAGAGCTGCTTTTCTTTTAAAGTTGAATTTTAGGCAGCCAGGACTCTTACACTAGGGGGCAGACACATACTGCACTTGCTCCAATCTTAAGCAATTTTTTTCCCCCTGCCAACATATGCTCTGATTTAGCACTGTAAATTTTTCAGAGGACCCAACTCTGACAGCCCCTGGTGATTTTCAAAGTACCACAAGCCAGTGGTTAAAAATTGCATTGACTTGGGGGTTCAGAGGGACACAATGGACAGCCCTTTCCCTATTCATGGATTGCAGCACGGTAGAAGAGAAAAACACACACGGACGAGATTGAGGGAAAGGGGGGAAATTCAATGAATCGTAGAGGACCACTGGCTTCCCTGAGTTCAGAGTTAAACTCTGCATTTGCTGGGGTCTGTATTCATATTGTGATTTAATCTGTAAAGAATGAACTGATCATCCACCCACTTTCTGCAAGAAGAAAAAAAATCATAATCCTAGGTGTTTGGATTTTTTTTTTTTAGATTAAGACAAATGGGGATTTTTTTCCCTCCAACATTCACTAGCAAAATTAAAGCTAGCCTTTCCTCTCATTAAAATAAATTTACATCTGCAATAAAAGAGTGGGCTGAGTTTTTTTTTTTTTAAGATAACAATGATGGATATTTACCTTTTAATCTGGGAGCTTTTTAATCTTAGGGTCAAGGCAAATGAATATCTTTTGCCGAAGACATGTTTAAATAGTTTTTGCCTTTTTATTTCTTCCTAACCACTGTCCTGTCTCTTCTGCCATAAAATGAACAACAATTTATACAGTGATACTTTTTCCCTTTTTGACAGTCATTTCCATAACTGAATGAATCCCCAAGTACAGGAGATCCCTGTGGTCTGTGCATATCTGACTCCAACTCTTTGACAGATACTTGGGATTTTTTTTTCATTTTTAATCTAAAGCCAGCAGAACTTTCAAATGCCCACCCCCCAAAAAAAATCTCTTCATAAAGCATTTTCTCCTCAAAAGCATCCCTTCGCATGGCTGTTTAAAGTGATTTTACTATGGAAGTCTTTGCCCTCAGGAGGCAAAAGATTAAGATTTCCCTATAATCAATTATTATTGTCTTCTCTTAAGTTGAAATGGGAATATCCATTACAGTTCTCATCTCAATCCTAGTACCACTCTACGCTTAAGGTTGCCTTTCATCTGACATTACCCGCATTCTTCCTGGAATCATAGAAGTTGAAAGAAAGTCGGGGAGTGTGGGGGGGACCAACAATAACAAATAAAACACAAAACCTTGTCTTCTGAAATGATCTCTCTCCCTCCTTCCCGCTCACTTGAGGCAAAACTTACATGGTGTTTGTAATTAACCTAAAATTCTCAGCCTGGTTTGACCCTGTGACAAGCTAAGCACTTATCAGTGCCTTTTATATATTGGTTTTTTTTTTATAATGTCCAAATAATCATAGCACCTGCAGCTTGGGCAAAATATATGAGTTCTGCAGAGCAAGCAAAGGCGATGAGGGTGAAGCTTAAAACCCAGCCTCTATCTGCCTTCATCTTTGTGTGGTTCTTACTTGGAGTGTTCTGCCTGTGTGTGTGTGTGTTAAAAATAAAGAAACTGAATGGAAGCTGCAGTCTACACAAGTGAACTATACGTGGGTCTTTATATGTTTTAATCTCTTTATCTCATCAATTGATTTCTTAAGTCACCAGAGGTGCTTTTCTGAATGTATCCATTTACTCTAGAGTGTTCTTGTTTTAATTCTCGGTGGTAGCTCAGGCAACTGTGGAGGAAAAGATTCTAATTGCTGGTGGACCTGGGGTGGCTTGTGGGTAATGCCTAGTTCTGGTGGGTGTCAGTGTATCCGGATGGAACCCTCTTTTTTGCTGGTATCATGTGAAATAATTCGGATCCACTGATCAAACAGCAAGGTTGCTACAATGGAATACAATGCGTGTGGCACACGGGGACCGTTGGATGCGTCTGATGCTATCCTGGAAGGCAAAGCCCCGATTCTATCAGTGGTTGTGTTAGTACTGTGAGCGGGAAGAGCTTCGGCTCTGAAGTTGTTCTCTCTCTCTCTGTTTTGCACTGATTCTCTCGAGGTAGAATATGGCTTGTTGTGTGGTTCCTGGTGAGTTCTATGGGTAATGGCAATTTGGAGAAGGATCTCTGGGTGTGTTGTAATGACTAGATGAATGTGCAAAGGGAACTTGGAGAACAATGATTTCGGCACTCAACTGTCCTGCGACGTCGAAGCAGAGTCTCAGAAGTCTTTGTCTGTGTCCCCTGATACATCTGATACATGTGCGCTTACATGTGTGTTGGCACGGGGAGGGGGGGTTGCCTGGGGGGATGGAGGGAGGTTGAGCGTCGGCCTCTGCCTGTCCATCAGCGTCTTTGCCTTCTCTTATCCCGACTGGGTGTGTGTCAGCACAGTTGCTTGTCAGTTAGCTGAAACCAACGAGAGAGAATAAAGTTGAGCACCATTTATTTTCATTGCGTCACGACAATGAGATGAACTCTACTCCTGCTTCTCAGCATCTGAGAGATGCTTTATTTGAGCAATTAAAAATGTCAGGCCGCCAACCCAAGAAGTGTTAACCCTACCAGGAAAGGAGGGATACCGAGGGATTCCTTTCCCTCATTTAACAAAAAGAAGGAAGAACACGCGCGCGCACACACACGTGTACACACACATGTGCACACACACACAGAGCTACCCAACAGAGCAAGGAGATGAGTGAGACTTGATGAAGAACAAGAATTGGCCATCACCCGGATCTATCCAAATCTTTCCGTTTGGAAAAATGCCCTCATGCTCAGTTCGCGCCCACCTTCCCCATCTCCACTGCCAAACCGCACTACAATAAAGGAGAGATGGGGGGGGGACACCAACCCTGGGAACTTTTCTCCTTCTCGTGTATCATGCGCCGGGGGTGGGGGTCGGGGGTGTGGGGGGGGTAAATGAGCCAGGGGGGGTCCACGGTGTCGTGCGTGCGGCGGATTTCGTGGCAGCTCCCAAGTTACACGAGAGAGGCAAAGTCCTGGATTTCCAGGCAAAGCTTCTCCTTTAAGAGGCGTGCTAGGAGTGTGTGTGTCTGTGTGTCTGTGTGTGTCTGTGTGTGTGCGTGCGCGCGCCCCGCGCTCACCTCCCCCGCCCCGGGGGCGGGAACCCCGGGTGCCCGGGTGCCCTGGGGGCGCAGGGCGATCGGGGGGGGGGGGGAGAGAGAGAGAGAGAGAGAGAGAGAGAGAGAGAGAGAGAGACCGCGCTTCCCCGCGCCCTTCTCCCCCCTCCACACTCCCATCCCCCCCTCCTACTTGGAGACCGGGGTGGTGTGCGGCCACCCGGTTCCCCGCCCCCCCTTCCCCTTCCCCCCACTCCCGGCCCGCGTCCACTGCTCCCCTCCCTCCTTTCCCCGGCTTCGGTCGGTCCCTCGCGCGCCCTGCGCGGCGGTGGCGACGACAACGCTCGCGCTAGGACCGGGCGGCTGCGGCGTTCGTCCGTGGCCCCGGGGGTAGAGGGGTGGGAGGGAGTGGGAGGGGGGAGGAGGAGGAGGAGTGGGGAGAGGGTGGGAGGAGGATGGCAGGGGGGCGGGGGCCACCGCGCTCTCGGGCCAATGACGGCGAAGGGGGCGGCGCGCGCGCGCCGGGGCCAGGCCAACCCGGGCGGCTGCCTTCTAAGGCGCGCCGTCGCCATGGCAACGCGCGCTAAGTTGCAGCAGTCGTGTCAAAGTTCACTATATAGAGAGCTCAGTGAGCTGAGCGCGGAGAAGCCACTTCTGCCAGCCCCGGCGCCTATAAATCGCATTCCCTCCCGCGCCCCCCTTTTTAGCATATTTGATCACTTTGATTCTCTGTTCTTTTCTCTCCGCGGTGTGTGTGTGTGTGTGTGTGTGTGTGTGTCTGTGCGTGCGTGTGTGTGCGCGCGTGTGTGTGTGCGTGCGCGCGTGTGTTTTCTTCTCCTTCTCCTCCTCCTCCTTCTTCTTCTCCTTCTCCTCCTCCTCCTCTTCCTCCTCTGCCCGAGTTGCCTCTCCTTTTTCTCCGGGTGCCGAGGCTGCCGCCTCTCTCTCTCTCCCTCTCTCTCTCTCTTTTTGGTAATTTTCCCCCCTTCTTCCCCTCCTCCTCGTCCATTCTCTCTCTCCCGTCTTTCTCTCCCCCTCCCCCTGCGCACGAAGGATGTGCTTCTAGGTGGTGATCTGCCCTCCTTTCTCTCTTTTATCATTTCTCCCCCGCCGCCGCCGGCGAGTTGACTCTTTCCCTATGTGTGAGAGGCGGCGGCGGCAGCAGCGGCAGCAGCGGCGGCGGCAGCGGCGGCAGCAGCGGCAGCAGCAGCAGCGGCGGCTCCGGCTCCGGCTCCGGCAGCAGCCGCGGGAGGAGCAGCGACTTCACCGGCGGCGGCGGCGCTAGACCGCGGCGGCGGCGGCGGCGGCGGCGGCGGCTCCGGGCCCGACCCCCCGGCGGCTTCAAGCGGCGGCGGCGGCGGCGGCGAGCGCGGCCCGGGCGGCCCCCGCAGGGAGCGGCGGCGAGCGGCCTCCACCGAGCGAACGGGCGAGCGAGCGAGCGGCGGCGGCGGCGGCTGGACGGAGCCCAGCGCGCGCCGGGCGCCCCGGGCAGGCGGCGGCGGCGGCGGGCGGCCGAGCGCCGGGACCACGCCGCGCAGCAGCGCCGGACGCGGATCACTTTCATGCTGATATCCCCGGACCCGGGCAGCGCTCCGGCCACTCCGCGCGGGCCGCCGGCCTCCGACCCGGCCTGCCCGGATCCCTGGGCGCGCCCGCGCCCGCGCGCCTCGGCTCTCCAAGTCCTCCAGATGTCCATGGCTTTCCTGAATGGCTGACTGTGGGCTGCCCTGGACTTGGCCCCCGGACAGTCGCCTCTCCTTCTCCTCCTCCTCCTCCTCCTTCTCCTCCTCCTCCTCCTCTTCCTCCTCCTCCTCCTCCTCCTGCTGCTGCCGCTGCTGCTGCTGCTACTCCACGGCTGCACACCCGATCTGAGAGCCAGCGAGTGAACGAGAGAGAGAGAGAGAGAGAGAGAGAGAGAGAGAGGGAGGGAGAGAGAGAGAGATCTTTGGAGAGATTTTTTTGCCTCCTACTTCTGTCTTGAAGCAGACAATCGACTTGCAGCTCTCGCTCCCCTCCCTCTCTCCACGCTCGGCTCCCACTCGTCCCTCTTCCCCCCCTAACTCCCTTCCCCTACCCCTCCCGACGGAAAGCCCCCCGAAAAAAAAAGCAACAAAGCTGAGCCGACAGAAACAAACAAACAAACAACAACAACAACAAACACATCGGGCCAGACAAGCCATCGACCAAACTTTTGCAAAAGCAAAACCTCTTCCTCCTCCTCCTCTTCCTCCTCCACAAATAACCAGCAACCAAAAACAAAAAACAAAAAACAAAAAACCAACCAAAAAAAGCCAAAAAGCAAAACAACCAACAACCTAAACGCAAAAGCAAAAAGGAAAAAAAAACAACAACAACACAAACCAACCAACAACAAACTAAGCAACCTCCATCAACTTAACCCTAAGCCAGCCCAGCGCGCCCTCTCCTGCGTCCTTCTCGCTCCAGGTTCACACAAAAGGCGGCGCGTCCCGAACCCGGAGACCCCCGGGGGAGCCGCCCCGCCGACACCCGCCCGCCCCGCCGACGCCCGCAGCTGCAGGGGAGCAGGAAGAAGTCCGGACGCGGCCCCCCCAATAGATATGGCCATGGTAGTCAGCACGTGGCGAGACCCCCAGGACGAAGTGCCCGGCTCTCAGGCTAGCCAGGCCTCGCAGGCACCCCCCGTGCCCGGCCCGCCGCCTGGTGCCCCGCACACGCCGCAGACGCCCGGCCAAGGGGGCCCGGCGAGCACGCCGGCCCAGACCGCGGCCGGCGGCCAGGGAGGCCCCGGGGGCCCCGGAGGTGACAAGCAGCAGCAGCAGCAGCAGCACATCGAGTGCGTGGTGTGCGGGGACAAGTCGAGCGGGAAGCACTACGGGCAGTTCACGTGCGAGGGCTGCAAGAGTTTCTTCAAACGCAGCGTGCGCAGGAACCTGAGCTACACGTGCCGGGCCAACCGGAACTGTCCCATCGACCAGCACCACCGCAACCAGTGCCAGTACTGCCGCCTCAAGAAGTGCCTCAAAGTGGGCATGAGGCGGGAAGGTATCGGCCTCTCCTGTCTCCCTCCACACCCCGGGACGCCCCCCCCCCCCCACCCCACCCCGCTCTCCAGCTCCTGCGTCCTGGGGGGGGGGGCTGATGGGGTGGGGGAGGGAAGCGATCGGGCCCGGCAGTGAGGGTGGGGGGGCGCCCCGGTGCGTGTGTCTGTCTGTCTGGGGGCTCACTTAGAGCCTTATTCTTTTCGTTACGGCAGTGTGCAAAAGTGTGGGTGTGGGGGGGTATTTTAAATACTAGGAGCGATGTCTGCTGAGGAATCTAGAGCTCCCCGATCCGTATGCTTTGGCAGACCTCTCTCTCTCTCTCTCTCTCTCTCTCTCTCTCTCTCTCTCTCTCTCTCTCTCTCTCTCTCTCTCTCTCTCGGGGGGGGGGGGAGTCATGATCATTTTCTTAGCGTTGATGGCGAGTTCGTCCGAGTTCACCTTTTTGCAAAAGGGGGGCATGGAGGGTGTTTGTTGTTTTAAATCTCTCTCTGTAAATCTCTCAATCTCTCTCTCTCTGTCCTTGTTTTTCCTGCATGTTCAACATATGTCCCTCCTCCTCTCCCAGCCCCCACCCTCTTTAAGACAAAAAAAAAATACAAAAACCAAAACCACCGCCGACAAACCCTAACCTGAGATTGTACTTTGGGACAGAAGGTTCAAATGGCAAATGGCCGTGTGAGGCGTTTCGCCCTGTCCACGAGGCCCGCCCGCCGCGGGCCGGCTTTCCTCCCGTGACCCGGCCTGGGATTTGCAATTCTGCTTTAAAAGAAAAAAAAAGAAAGAAAGAAAGAAAAAAAGAAAAGAAAAAGCGGGGGAAGGGGAGAGCCTCGGGTTTTCTTTCTTTTTTTCTTTCTATTTTTCCTTTCACTTTGGAGCCGTGGCGAGGGCTGGGCGCGCGGGGGGCGCGCGGGGGGCGCATGGGGTCCCCTTTGCCTTCGTCCTGCGCGACTCTGGGTCTTTGTGATCGGAAATTCACCCGGGCGCCGCCGTGGCCTTCCCCGGCCGGGCCTCTGCCAATGGCGCTCTCGGCGGGCGGGCGGGCGGGCGGGCGCCGGGCGCGGGCTCTCTGGCTAGGAGAAAGCCAACGCCGGGCTTTTCTTTGTGTTTCTGCGAGAGCGACTCTCCCGGTCCGGAGTCAGATAACAGCTCCAGCCCTCCGAACACAGCCTGGCCGGCTGGCCTCCTCCTCTTCCTCCTCCTCCTCGCGGGTCCTCGCTCGGGCCCTGCCTGGGCTTTTATTTTATTCATTCATTCATTAATTTATTTTGCTCCGGGCCTCTCCCCGGCTTCCTCCTCACCTTAGCCGGCCTCTCTCCCGTTCCCAGCGCACACCGATCGATTAGGCAGACGGCAGCAATCCCCCCCCTCTACCCCACCTCCCAACCCCTCTACACTCTCTCTGATCGTCTCTAGCTCGGAGTTGTGCCAGTCAGGCTTTGTGTTGGGGGGGGGGGTGGGAGTTGGGGGCTTGGAAAGGTTGGGGTGAGTGTGATTTGGGGGGAGGGAAACAGTCATCCTGGGGGTGATCCTAGGCCATCTGGGGATACACTCTCTGCGTCCTTTGCCAACGCTGTCACCCACCCTCCTCCCTGGGCTCGCCCCCTTCCTGCCCTCTGGCTTCCGATCAATAAGAAATACCAGCTGTGTAGAGGTTAAAAAAAAAAAAAAGGAAGATGCACCCCCTGACCCTCTACCTGGGCTCCTTCCTGCTCACAGCCACCGGGACACCCCCCCCCAACTCCCCTACCCCTGAACCCCTGTCTCCCCAAGGCCAAGTGGCCGATTCTGGGTGCAGCAAGTCTGCAACAAACTCGAGGTCACCACCCGAGCCGGCCTGGGTGGTGACCTGACACCTGGCATCCTGCACACCTATGGCAGGCCTGGTCTGGTTCTTTGCCCTCCCTCCCCCCCCTCCAGCCCTGGGTCTGGGACATGTTTATTTTGTTTAGGGGGGAGTGGAGGGGTGGTCGTGCTGGGGTAGAGGCTCTTGGGGGGCGTTGGGGGGGGGAGAGGAAGGCTCTGAGGACGGGGTCTGGTCACTCATTGCACAGTGTCTGTTTTCCCTCCCCCGCAGCGGTGCAAAGGGGCAGGATGCCACCCACCCAGCCGACCCACGGGCAGTTCGCGCTGACCAACGGGGACCCCCTGAACTGCCACTCGTACCTGTCCGGATATATTTCCCTGCTGCTTCGAGCCGAGCCCTACCCCACGTCCCGCTTCGGCAGCCAGTGCATGCAACCCAACAACATCATGGGCATCGAGAACATTTGTGAACTGGCCGCAAGGATGCTGTTCAGCGCCGTCGAGTGGGCCCGGAACATCCCTTTCTTCCCGGACCTGCAGATCACGGACCAGGTGGCCCTCCTGCGCCTCACCTGGAGCGAGCTGTTCGTGTTGAATGCGGCCCAATGCTCCATGCCCCTCCACGTCGCCCCGCTCCTGGCCGCTGCAGGCCTGCACGCATCGCCCATGTCAGCCGACCGAGTGGTCGCCTTTATGGACCACATACGGATCTTCCAAGAGCAAGTGGAGAAACTCAAGGCGCTGCACGTCGACTCGGCTGAGTACAGCTGCCTGAAGGCCATAGTCCTCTTCACCTCAGGTAGGAACGGGGAAGGGGGAAGGGGGACCTCCAGGGACTCCTGGTACACAGGGTCTAGAGAAATTTGGGGGAGGGGGTGTCCCCAGGACAAGGCAACCTTCCTCCTCCCCTCCCCAACACACACCCTGAAAGTCCAAACAGTAGGGTGTACAGCTTGAAGAAGAAACTTTGTAGCTAGCTGGCCATCTCTTGGAAGGCTGAGTTGCAAAGAACATACCACAGATTTCAGGCCTCTTACCCTTACCTCCCCCCGCCCCCCACCCCTCACACACCAACAGTAAGCAGACTAGGACCCTGACTGCCTGATTTACTTCCTTGAGTCCAAGCCTGCTGGGCCTAGTTAAGTCTCCAGAGAATATCCTGGAGCCTCAAACTTCCTCTGGCACCCAGCTTGGGCCTGGAGGAGATAGATGGCCCTGAGCAGTGTAGCATCCTCGGCAGCCATCCCTGCTGGAGAAAAGTTTCCCCCTACAGGGGAAAAGTTTTATCTGCTAACTCTGTAGGAGTTGAAGCTTGAGGCAAATCCAACCGGAGGGCAGCAATTTTCAAATTCGCCTTCTTATTAAACTAATGCAGACTGGCAGCACAAGGGAAGAGAGCTGTCAGACAGGAGTAAGAGAGAGGAAAGAAACCCACATAAAGGGGTGAGGGCTCTGGCTTCTAGCTCCTTTGGCCTAGGCAACCACTTAAAGACAATTTGCAGAGCAACCTCAGTGTATGCCAACGTGGGCCAGCAGCTGCGCATGTTGCTGGAGATATAAAACCATCATTGCCTGCATTATGAAATCTAATTAGTTTGCATGTAGTTTAACCTGTGTGAGTAATAGATCTGATATTAATTAACTCTTGAGGCCAAATGATTTTTGAAAGTGTCTGGCTTTCTATTGCGGGCCACACCTGAGCCTTTTGGCTGCCTCTAGGCTGAGTTCAACAGAGTCTAGGTGGGTGGAAATTACCCCCTCCCTTCACATTCTTGTACTAAGTTGTCAGCTGATCCCTTTGTCACAGCTGAGGAGGGAAAGAGGGGTTCCCAACTAAGAATAACAAACATTTGGACAGTAACAGAGGGCTTGGAACCCAGTCACCCACTTGCAGTTTTTGAAGCTTATAATCAGGAAACTAGGAAAGATGTGTAGTTTATTTGGGAAACAAAAAGACAGAGAGATACACAGTTGTATCTTTATTGTTTGAAAGAAGTCTGGGGAGCCAAGTCCTTTGCTAAACCTATTTCAGGATCTGAGCTCTCAATTCGCTGCCTTCTATGCATTGCTGCTTTGTATATAACACCCTCTTCCAGCCCCCACCCCCACCCCAACACACACACTTGCCCCAAATCCTGTCTTCAGAAGTCTTAGGTAATTCACTAGCAAGCAAAGTTTGGACAAGGAAGAGCTGCATACAGCAGGTCGGATCAAGATTCTGGATTCTTCTCCTCCTGTCTAGACTGTTTGCTTGATGCAAATGTAGAGGCAAGATGGTCCCCTAGCCCTCCAGTGCATTCACCCCTTTCCCACAACTTGACATCCAACCCACATTCTCCCATGGTGGGTGGGGGTTGGTTGTATGTTCTCCATATCATTGCTAGTTCTTTGCCTTCCTTACCCTTGCTTGGTCTTTCAAAGCAAGAAATGCCCGATCCTGTCATAGCAGTTTAATTTATTAATATTTGCAAATTGTGAAGGCCTGGGGAGAGAATGTAAGTCACCTCACAAAGAGATAAAGGTCTGTGTTATCTGATTCAGTGGGAGACACAAAGTCCCAATGTGGAGGAATTGAGTCCTAGACAAACAGCTACTTTAATTACACACACACACACTCACCCCACACCCACCCCCCCCCCCACAAACACACCTATGCCTTCTGAAGATATGTAGAGTCCTAGATACTAAGAGGAGGAGGAGGAGGCATGTGTCCCTGGTTCTAGGAGTGGATGTGGTGGAAGGTGCTTTCAAATATCTGTTTTAATGATTCACAATGTGCATGTGTTAACCCCAGTCTTGTCTCGGGGAGCCCCTCAAAGGTCAGGTCACAACCTGAACCGCCTTCACCAAGAAAGCGTCTCATTTCAAAGGCACTTATTGTATTTTCACATATCAGAAAAGAAAGAAAGAAAGAAAGAAAAGTGTTTTGCTGCAGATAACAGGGAGGGTTGGTGTAGGGAGGGGGAAGATTGGGGATGCTTCTTGGAGGAACCTGGATTTAAGTTTAAAAAAAAATAAAATAAAATAAAGGGGAGTGGGAGAAAAAGAGAGAGAGAAGAAAAGGGGGGAGAGAAACAGCTCAAATGAACAGAGAGATCACAGTTTGCATGGCTGCCCTTCAATGGGCTAAACTGACAAGATCAGTTTTAAAGGACCACTTAAATCAGTTTCAAAGACTGGGGAAAAATGAGTCGCCCTCTTTGGGGGAGAATCTGAAGCTGGATGGTGGACGCCATTACTCCGGGCTGGGCCAGGTTGTGGCCCCCCTCCACCCCCACCCCCATCCTATATAATTACAGGCCAAACTGTTATTTACAGAGGATGAGGGGGAGGAGCGGTGGCAGTTTGGGTTCATCTGTTTGTCTATCTGTGTGCTGACTTGGGTCAGATTCACCCAGTGCACTTTTGCCTAGGCCTCCCAAGCACCCAGCGTGAAGACTGAGGACTGGAGAGGCCAGGGAAAGCCCGGAGCTCCCTGAGTGTGTTTGATTTTGAAGCAAACACTCCAGGACATCCCCCCTCTGTCTTTTCCTCTCTCTCTTTCTCTCTCTTACACACACACACACACACACACACACACACACACACACACACACACCCTTTTTTAAGTTTCCAAATGCATTAAGCACTAGGACCTAGTCTAGTTGGGCAGTTTTGACAGAACTCTGTATGTACACTGGATGACCCATTTCAAACCTCTTAATCTGATGACTGAATCTCTCTCTCTCTCTCTCTCTCTCTCTCTCTCTCTCTCTCTCTCTCTCTTTAAACTTTCTTCCAGATGCCTGTGGTCTGTCTGATGTAGCCCACGTGGAAAGCTTGCAGGAAAAGTCCCAGTGTGCTTTGGAAGAGTATGTTAGGAGCCAGTACCCCAACCAGCCAACGCGATTCGGAAAGCTTTTGCTTCGCCTGCCCTCTCTGCGCACGGTGTCTTCCTCAGTCATAGAGCAATTGTTTTTCGTCCGTTTGGTAGGTAAAACCCCCATCGAAACCCTCATCCGGGATATGTTACTTTCCGGCAGCAGTTTTAACTGGCCGTATATGGCAATTCAATAAATAAATAAATCAAAATAAGAAGGGAGAGTGAAAACACGCAGAAAGAAAAGGCAAAAGACTGGTTTTGTTTGCTTAATTCCCTTCTGTTCAGAAAGGAGGTAAAAGGATGTTACAAGTTTGCTTAAAAAAATGAAGAGAGGGGAAGAAATTAATGGACTGTGAATTTCAAAAAAAAAAGACTGTCATGAACTTTTACAGAATGCATTGAAAAAAACTCTTGTGTTGGTCAGAACAACTTGCTACTTATCATTTTTGTATAAAAAAGGAAATTAGTCTTTTTTTTCTTTTTTGGTAATTTTTTTTGAAAACTATTGCTAAAAGTGCATTTAAGGAAATTGGGAGAAAATTAGCAGAATGGAGAAAGTAAGTCTTTTTTTTTCCAAATTATTAATTGTCCTGTGTCTATGTATCTCTAGCTGTTTTTTTTTTAAATTTTTTTGTACTTTTCTGGTTCCAAACCAGTTTATTCTGTGGTTCTATAATAAGTTTTGATATAATCTTGGCTTCTAAAAAAAAACTGTGTATCATTAAAATATATGTTCTGCAAGAATTAAAACTGAGTCCATGAAAAATATCATAGGAAGACATAAAACGTTTAAAAGACAACTCAGAGGCTGGAAATGCACTTACAAGAGGTGGCCAAAAAATTGTAGGTGAAATTAAGCACTCTAATAATTAGGAAACCGAAGGAACCACTCACCACATTTAACTTTCCCCTGCCCCCCCCTCCTATGCCATGATAAACCTAGCTTTTTAAAAAGAAAGAGAATGAACTGTGGAATTTATTGGTAGTCCAGGAGTGTGTCCAAGACACAGGCTGAGGTTTTGAATTTAAAAACAAAAAGTGAACTTTTGTAATTTGAATTGGGTCTCCCCCCTTCCCTTAGTTCTTGAATTGTTATGAAAATCCTATAATCTGTTTGTATATTTGCAAGCCCTTTGTATTATAATTGTTGATATTTTTCCCTTTTTAAAAAAATACCATTGAAATCAGCATGACAAAATAACACTGTTGGCACTTATAGGTAACGTGACTGAGTATCTTAGAGTTTACAGTTTGTGTTTTTGAAAAAAAAAACTGAAGGTTTTTTTTTTAAGTGCAACATTTCTGTATACTGTAAAAGTTATAATAACTGAACTGTTTGGTCGAGTCTTTGTGTGTTATATTCCAAGGAAAATTGAAAGTATTCAGAAATTAAAATATTATTTGATATCTGAAACCTGTTTTGCTGTCCACACTTACTGTCTTTCTGTGGCGGAGAGCCCTTGTGAGCCCTGGGAAAGGGGGCTCCATTTGATTACACCCCCTCAATCAGTTTCTGCAAAAAAGGTAGACTAGTGTATTTGCCTGTTTAATTTGGGTGTGTGTAGGGGGGTGTTAAGGAAGCTGAAGTTAATGGTTTATCTATGGTTTAGAAAAGTGCCACACTGATATAGGAAGCCGCCCCCATTCACCTAATCCTCCTTTTAATTAAAAATGGATTTTCCAGGAAAAAAAAAAGGCTCTTATATTTGTCACACTTAAGTGCCTGCTTAGGGAAGTATTGTGAAAAGTATTAGAAATCTTGAGATCAGTATCTATTTTATGATCAGGAAAAAAATACTCTTTTGTACATTTCTGACAGTTGTGCAGAGAACTCAAGCAAGCGAATCATAGCATTGGAAGTAGAGGGCAGTTGTTTACAATGCAAGAGTTTTTCCTTAAGTAGGTGTGATTTTTGAAATATATAGATTCTGTCGTTCTCATCTAGCATGGTTGAGGGGAGAATTTCCAGTTCAGTGGTGTAGCTTAGAGCCCTGAAAGGTCTGTTTTTTTAAAAAATATATGTATATATGATATGCCATGTCATATCTCATGTATATGATATATATGGCTTGCAGTAAGATTGGCTGTCCACTCCCCCACCCCCAACTCTGTTTCTTAAAGCCTGGCCAGATATAGGTCAAAAGGATCTTTTCCATTGGAGTTATGAACATACTGACATTTGGACATTTCAGATTGTGTAGGTATCTAATCTACACTTGGGATCCTTTGTCCTTACCAGCCAAATAAAGCAAAAGAAGAGAGGAGAAAGAAGGAAGGAAACTTTACAGGGAAGGCTGATTTGGAAGTAGTAACTATTTTCTTTTAATCTTACCCGGACCAGCTTCACCCTCCCCTCCCCCTTTCTCTTTCTCTGGTTTGGGGGAAAAAAGAAAAGGCTTGGGTGCTGGAAGCTTGTAATTTGTTTTTATTTGGACTTTCCAAGCTACCCTCCCTCAAAACATGTTGCCAGACGGTGGCTTCATCTTAAAATTGGGGCCTAGAGAGGATGAGGAGGAGGGTGAAAGGAGAGGTATTGGGTTGTTTTTCTTTTCCTTTTTGTCCTCCCTTCTTTTTGCAATGTGTATTTAACTTTGATACCCCGTTTCGAGTCCATACATGCAGACCCAAGCAATCTGTCTGATGTGTGCATTTGGGCAGAGTTGTCTATGTGACCCTCAGCTTCTTGCTGTAGATATATACATATATAAATACAAGTCTGTTCTGACAGTGCAGTATCTGACCCTTAGGAGCTTTGGTTGGTTGTTGTTTATGTTCTCTTGCAAGTACTATCCGTGTGAGCGTGTGAAGTTTTCTCTAATAAGTAAAACGCAGGCCTTTTTCCTTGTTTGTTTTGTGTTAGCTTATTGTAAACAGCCATTTGTTGTAAATTATTATTGGCATTAAATTATAATTTATGATTTTCAAAGCAAAAGACAGTCCCTGTTTTATTATGGCTATAAGCATGTGTTGGTAGATGTTGAAAAATCACCCCCTCTCTTCCCCCCCCCCTCTCTCTCTCTCATTCTTTAAGTTTCAGCAATAAGCTTGGGGGTCTCTCAGGCAGATACCCAGGACACAAAAATTTTTAGCCGCTTAAAACAAAACCCCTTGTATGTGTTGAGAGTGGCCGGAGGAGGATCTGTTTGGAGTCTTGAGTTCGGTTTAAGTTTATTGCATTTAAAGAAAGTTTTTCTTTTCATGCTGAGTTAGAACAAAAGATCTTTGCTGGGACTGAATTGGACAAAAGAAGAGGGCTGAGACCCAGCGAGGGTGTCCTGTGTGAAATTGACGACATCTTTTAAAAAGCAGCTAAACATGGCGACTTTAAGTGTCTCTTTTTTTTCCTTGCTGGGTCTCCCCCCCCTTCTGTCTCTCTCTCTCTCTCCTCCATCTGATCTGAGCTCGCTTTATTTCTTTTCCCAAACCTGACCCTCCTCCCCTCCTCTCTTGACGCTCGGGGGTGTGTGAGAGAGAACTCACTAAGACGCGAAATGCAACAATAGTCGTTGGAGAGAGAGAGAGAGAGAGAGAGAAAGAGAGAGAGAGAGGATCTCTGCTTTTGGCCACTTTCAAACAACCCTGGGGGTGGACTGAGGTGGTGAGGGAGGGCAGGGGTGTGTGTGTGTGTGTGTGTGTGTGTGTGTGTGTGTGTGTGTGTGTGTGTGAGCGCGCGCGCAGGGGGGGATCCCAGCCGGTCCGCCCGGCTCGCTGCCCTCCTAGCTCTCCAGTAGCTCTGGCCCTGGGCCTCCCAGGAGCTAGCTAAGGCTCAAAGTTAGCAGGCGACGGTCCGGGGCTAGGGGTTCGCCTCTGGGGTGGGCTGCGAGGGGGACTGGAGGGGCTGGCAGCAGCTATGGGAAAGCGCACGGCCCCCCCGACCCCCCGCAGCCCCCCACCCCCACGTACAGAATCCCCCTCCCCCAGCGCCCCGGGAGAGCCGGGGTGCGGGGCGCTGCGCGCGCGCGGGCCGGGCTCCGGCCTGGGCCGGGCCGGGGGTGACCGGGAGGCGGAGGCGAGGGGGTGGGGTGGGGGGGGGCGTTCGTGGGGGACCCGGAGCGTGTGAAACTCTGCCTTGAGGCTCGCTTTTGACTTGGTCCTCTGAGCTGAGCCAACATGGCGTCTCCCATGCACCGCGAGCGCCCGGCTGCCAGGCTCGGCGCAGCCGGTAATAGGAAACACATTGGGGACCAAAAAAAAAAAGGGGGGGTGGGGGGTGGGGTGCGCGAAGGGCCATTCCATCTGCAGGCCGAAGAAAAGAAAAAAAAAAACCACCCTCTTTTAAACTCTTGCTGGCCAAGTGTGCAGACCTGGATTATTCTGTAATTAAAGCAAGGAGGAATGCGTAGGGAAATGATGGGTAGCGGCCTGTACCCTCTCCCCCTGCGCCCCCCCGTACCCCGATTCTGGACAACACAACCCTCCACCTTAGAGTCAAAAGAGCTGATTGCATATCTCTTCTCCTTGCAAGAAGTCTTTTTAAAATTAATAATAATTATTATAATAACAACCCCCTCAATCTGCATCTGCGAATGATCTTACACATTTGAATGGTATTGGGGCGCAGGGAGGGAAGGGGAGAGAGGGGCTGGGGGGGTAGAGAGAAGCCAGGATTTCCAGGCGCCCGCCCGGTCAGTTTCCCTGCTCATTCATTCAAGGGCGGAGGGAGAGGGTTGGGTGGGTGAGTGGTTTCGAACCCCGTTGAACTTGGGCAGAACTTGCTGGCTTGTATGTCAAAGTTGGGGCGAGGTGTGTGTGTGTGTGTGTGTGTGTGTGTGTGTGTGTGTGTGTGTAGGGGTGATAGTGGAAGGGGGTGGTGGTGTTTGTTGTGCAGGAGATGGTATGAGATTTGGCAGGGTAGTGGATGCGATCGCAGAACTGAATGAAAGCTGCTGTTCGGGCAGGGTGGTCGCAGCCATTCAGATATGCTGCCTGCGCTGTGCCTAATAATAGGTTGTGAGAGGCCACCAGGGCAGTAGTGGGGTTCACCTGGGCCTCCCAGAGAGAGAGAGAGAGAGAGAGAGAGAGAGAGAGTCCTTCCTGGGCCTGTGGTTCAGAAAGCTCTGGTAGATCAATCAGGAGAACCACTACCCACATCCAATTCCAAGCCCTATCCTGGGCCTAGGAAAGCCCTGACCGGCCTGGGAGAGAGAGGCAAGCAAGGTATATTCAGAATTCCAGCCCTCCTCAAGATTTATTGAAGTTGGGTTAAAAAAAAAAAAGTGCTTCAGATGATTTTTTTCCCCGTTTTCTCAGATTTCAAAGACTCCCTGCAGTGCGGCTGCCTAATTAATGGTGAAATTCAACTAAATCTAATTATGCAGTAATTTTAAAGCAGTTAGTGCTGGGCGTTGGTTTGTAATAGGACCCCAGTTTGTTTTTGTTGTTTTTAAGTTTGCTTACTGTATTGGTTTAGGGGAAAACTGTTTTATCTATGGTAAAGAAAGATGGAGAAAATGGTGATACCCCCCCCCATGTGAACTGGAGCGGGAACTCCATCTCTAGCTCTATCACCTCCAGTTCTTTTGCTATCCTCCTCTCTCTTCTATTCAGGTTTAAAAAGCTGAGCAAAGTGCTTACCCAACCAGGAGACCTAGTTTCATGGTCAAAGAGGAAAGAGAAGGGGGGGAAAAAAATCTTTCATCTGGGGATACAAAAGGTTTGCTTGGTATCTGTCCTGAATCTGACTGTAAATGCCTGAAAACTGGGAAGGGATTCTCATCTCCTCTCTAATAGAGAACAGATTTCCTCTCTTAAAAAAAAAAAATCTATTGTCATTAAGGTGTAAAGCTGACTCGTGGAGTTATAAATCTTATCGTCCCTCTGATAACATGCTTCTAATAAGTTAGCGTCCTATTCAAAGTGAATTGTAAAACTGCCTCCTTTAATATGGCATCTGTGTCATTAAAAGTTGTTGTTGTTTTTTTTTTCCTCTCCCCTTAGTGACTTGCAAGTCTGGCCTTCGGGCTAGCGGGAGGTTCCTGCCCCTTTGTGGGCCTCTAGGGGTAGAGCCAGAGGAAGAAAGGTGTGAGAGATTGTCTGCCTAAAATTCAGCTTGGGGTGAGAAACCCCTAGGCCGAAAGGGCTTAGGGAGTGGTGGTCTCTCTCTCCGATCCCTCCCCCCCACCCATGGCCCCCTCAAAATGACATTCTTTGAAAGAAAAATGCGTGTGATTAGCTAAGCAAACACATCTGCTTTTGGAGTTGGGCCTTCGTTAATTAGTTGAACAAAAGGCCATTTTTTTTTTTTTTGCCTTTTACCTTTTGCTAAGAGAAGAGCGTGTTCTGCCTGGGCCCACCTCTTTTCAATCGCAGCCACCACGTTAATTTTATTGGGATTACTGATGGGAAATGAGGTGGTGCGGGCTTCCGAGAGGAAAACCTTGATCATTACCCCCTCTGGAACTATATTTTTTCTCC